AAGTTGACATAGACGGAGTTCTGCAGCATGTTCTCAAGTTTGGCAAAGAGCACAGCCATGAAGGGGCCTGGGGGAGGTGGGCACAAGGATACAAGGCCTGAACACAATGCACATAGCAACCATTCCTCCCCAAAACAAGAGACCCCAGACTAGATGATGATTATTTGTCTGTCAGTCTTTGGGTATGTTTAAATATCCTGTGACCACCTATTCTGGAGAAGATAAAATGGCAGACACCACATAGATGCACAAGAGTCCAGATACTAGCTTTAAACACACTTGAGCTGAAGAGCCAGATTGTAGACTCTGGAGTCAGAAAGAGCTGGTTTCAAATTTCAGCTTTATCCTTTACTAGTTATTGGAGGAGTCAAAACTCTCCAAGAATAGTTTCCTACTTGGTAAAATAAGAAAATATACCTACTTATAAGGTTATTAAGAGGATGAAAAGGAGACTAACATAAAGCATTTAGTCTAAAATATAGCAAATTATAAGTATTCAATAATAACTATAAGCTACATAACATTTCACAGGTCTTTTTAAAAGCTTCATCCAAGAGGCACAACAGAAGAAAGAATGAGAAAGTGAGTAAAACCAAAAGAAATCAGGTTACACACAAAACAGAAGATAACATTAGACTTGGGTCAGAAAGAAAGCAAGGAAGTATAACAAAGGCAAACAAGGTGACTATATAGGTCAACTTAAAGTCGGGGAGAAATCTTTGGAGGACCAGAGAAGAAATCAGCTCTTTTGAGGAGCTGGGAATCAAGAAGGTGGAAAAGATCTGTAGAAAAAAAGAGCTTGAGAGTTGAGAGCCAGCGAAAACCAAGTCACGGCAGCCTCTTTGGTAGGAGACAGAGTAACAGAAGGGGTTAAGAACGTTCCACTGGGAGAACTGGCCTCAATGAGCCAGAGCCCCAGCCTGAGCACTCCAGACCATCACAGTCTGTCTGACCAGAGATCTATGGGGAAAAGAAAGTGTACCTAAAAACTGCACTATGAACTGAAACAGGAGAGCAATGAAAGGCAAGAGGCAGTGAATCCTGGAAAATATTTTAGAATGTTCTCCACTTCAGATGCACATAACTAGCCTTAGCTCCAAAACAACTCTAGCTTAACAGGGTCCTAAGATACCCCATAACTTTGTCCTCCTGTTCCTCTCATTTCCTGGCACTTTCTTTTTTTTTTAATATATTTTATTGATTTTTTACAGAGAGGAAGGGGGAGAGAGAGAGAGAGAGAGTCAGAAACATCGATGAGAGAGAAACATCGATTAGCTGCCTCCTGCACATCTCCTACTGGGGATGTGCCCGCAACCCAGGTACATGCCCTTGACCGGAATAGAACCTGGGACCCTTCAGTCCGCAGGCCGACGCTTTATCCACTGAGCCAAACCGGTTTCGGCCCTGGCACTTTCTTATAAAAGAAAATTCAAAACGCTCAGGTGAGTTCACAAAGTAAGGAGGTATAGCTTTAATTAATGCTTCAAAAATGTGATAAAATCTGCATGCCACCTTCGAGTGGTACTGAGCAGAAAGTAGCAAAGACTAAATAAATAACTGAAAATATATAGTTTCTGAAGCCTGCAAGAGGGCGTCATCATGAATCCCTGATGCTGTGCAAGCAGGATGGCAATATATCTCAGGCCCAGTCAAAACAGGTACTGATCAAGGCATGACAACTAGACTACAAACAACAAGAAATGGGTGGTTGCCTTGGTCAACCAGTATCTGCCATGCACTTGCCCTGGCTAGTGTGGCTTATTGGTTAGGCATCATCCCATGGATCGAGAGGTCGTGTGTTCAATTCCCAGTCAGGGCACATACCTAGATTGCGGGTTCGATCTTAATGGGGGCATATACACCGCAGCACATACAAGAAGCAACCGATGTTTCTCACATCAATGATTCTGTTTCTCTCCTCTCTCTCTCCACACCCCCCCCCCCCGACACCCCCCTCTTTCTAGAAAACTAGACCCATGACAATACTCTTCAAAAGTGAAATCAGCCCACCAGTGTGGCTCAGTGGTTGAGCACTGACCCATGAACCAAGAGGTCACTGCACTGGTTCAATTCCCGGTCAGAGCACATGCCCGACTTGCGGGCTCCAACCCCAGTAGGGGGCGTGCAGGAAGCAGTCAATTGATGTTTCTCTCTCATCGATGTTTCTATCGCTATATCCTCCCCCTTCCTTTCTCTTTAAAATCAATGAAGCATGTCCTCGGATGGATATATATATATATATCTGTATATATCTGCCATGGACTCAGAAGATGATAATCGTAGTGAAAAGCTACCACCACCTGCTGAGTTCTCACAATGTCCCAGCATTGTAGTAAATGATTTACATGCATCAATGGCATGGATGGGACCTTAATTCAAGGTATGTCTAGTCCAAAGCACTACACTGCTTCCCAGAGATGGTTTTTGGTTCATTTTTCTTCCCCCTCACACAGGTATGGAGTAAGAATAAGAACCAGCTGAGGGCTGGGCTGGATAGAACCAGCTCTCAAACAAAAACAAAGAGGAGTTAGCCACTCAGGTCAGGTCTAGCTCCAAGGGCATCCTGCAGAGATCAAAAGAACTCAGCAGAGGAGCTCAGGGCCACACTTGATCATCTGCCCTAAAGAGGTATTTTACTATCTGCGTCATTCCTTATTACTAATCATAAATCTTTAAGTCTTATTAGACAGTAATGGCAACCAACAAGGTGCAAGGACAGGGAATAGGAGAAACTTGAAATTCAGTCCTTCTGAGAAGAGGCTGGGAGAAAGGAGGCCAGGGCTGGGTAGGGGAAGAACACCAGAAGATCCTGGGCCACAGAAGAGCTGACAGGAGAGCTAAGACCCAGACAGATACCTGGTGGGGACAGCATGATTTACAGATAGGTGCCTCCTACACAAGACAGCAGGTATGTCTTCCACATGGTTCGGATATATTGCTGTGATTCACCAGAAAGCACCAGACAGAAATACCCTAATCACAAATCCCAGGAAATAGCCAGAGTGGGAAGAGGAGGAACATGCACATAGGACAGACATACAAGGCTCAGACATAAGTCAATACTCAAAACAGCACAAGCATGGAAGATGTACACGCAGACACAAAGACACAGGAATGACATAATGTGAATCTGGAAGGAACGCAAGCAAAATGGATGATGAACTAGGCAAGTACACAGAAATGACATGGCCAAGAAACCTCAGAAACCAGCACAAACACTTCAAAAACATGCGAAGTACACAAAGGAGAAGGCTTAGGCTCAGTGGCTTACCAGTGAAGGGCTGGCTTGGCAGCGGGTTGAGAGTCCGCAAAGGGCTGTTGAGGAAGGGGCAAGGGGGCTCAGGGGGACAGGTGAAGCTTGCGTAGGCCTCCTCCTCCTCAAGAGGTAGTGGAGGCTCTAGGGGAGGCTCTGAGCTGGCCCCCCCATTACTCAAAGCCACCTCCAGATCCCGGAGCTCCTGCCCAAAGCCCTCTAGTCCTGCCATGCCCTCAGAGATGCCCTCTGGCAGGTCCCCTGCTCCCTCCTGCGGCACCCGACGAACTTTCTTGGCCCCCTCAGGCCATGGTCCTGGCATCCCATTGAGCTGAGGAGGAGGCAGGTGGCCAGGGCCCTCCCCTGCACCCCCAGCCAGTCTCCCACTCCCCAGCTCCTCCTCCTCCCCTTCTCCCACATTGTCCTTGTCCTCCTCAGGCAGTAAGCTGCGTTTCTTAGTCCGGGAGCCAACAGGACTGGGCTCAGGAGGAGGCCGCTCGCCATCATAGGGAGCAGACCAGGTACGGCAAGCTCGGACACAGCGGTCCACACCACGGCGCGCCTCACGCAGATACTCCAGGTAATTGTCTTCCAGTTCACCAGGCTCCTCTGCAGGGCTTGGCCTTCGGCCAGGGCTGGAGGCAGGGGATGAAGCAAGCCCTGGTGAGCGAGGGGCTGGGGCTGGGGATTCGGAGCCACCTAAACTCTGCTGTCGCAGGAAGAGAGCCAGACGAGATGGTGTAGAGGGCCGGGGTACGGTCACCACAGAAGAGGAGTCAACACTTGGGCTTCCAGGGCCTGCAGATGGGAAAAAAAAATAAGAGGGACCGAAGAGACAAAGGCCCAGGAAGAAGGATGAGACATCTAGGGTAACTGAGAGAGAAGGTAATGAGGCAGCAGAAACATGGTACAATTCAGACAGCTAACTCTCCACCCTCCAAATAAAGCCTTTCCTCATCCATTACTCCATCTCACCAACACCAAAGGAACAATGGATACAGAAAGAATACTGGACTAGAAAGGAACAATGTACTCCAAAGCTAAATTTCTTTGGTGAAGTTAAGGATCCACCCTGCAAGATTCCTCATTTACTTCCCCAAAGATAGAATGCCACTCATGGCCACCTCCCTAACCCTCCCTTCTTGTTAGGCTCCCCCAGAATCCAGGCCATACCCGCGATGTCCTCCCTTCTCCCTGACTCTCGGCTAGGCCCACCTCGTGCCCACGAGGCATGCTCTGGACGGGGTGGGCTGGGGGCACAGTGCCGACAACAGCGTGGGATTAGGGAGAGAAACTTGTCTGCTGCTCGTCCATACAGATCCACATCACGCACAGCTGGCTTCTGGCTCAGCATCACATGGTTACATGGGACAAGATACCTAGGAAAGACAAGAGAAAAAGGATACAGGATAAATCAGGAAAGAAGGACCGGGTTTTGGAAAACATCACGCCAATGGAATTGCCTCCAAGAGGAAACACATGAGCAACCCCAATACAACCCATTGCCCCAGCAATGCACAGGATTCAGGATCAGCCATCCCTCAGCCCTGACCGCACAGGTACCTGAGAACCAGCTGCAGCAGGACATCCTCACAGCTTAGGTTCAGTAGGGTCCTGAAGAGACTGAGAGAGACCATGCAGAGCTGGAGGGGTGGGAGAGGAGGGAAGGAGTCACCATAAGAGCTCTCTACCCTCCATGATGTTTACCAAATGGGAACCCTCCCAGCCCCTGGCCCAACCAACCACTCGTAGAACAACAACGTGCACAGGGCCTAGCATATAAAAGTCATTCAATAAATGATAAAATGATGTTTGTGGGCAAGACTTCACTATTAAGAGATAGGAATGAACCATATGTCAAAGTCAATGTATTTCTATAGACCTGTGGTCGGCAACCCACGGCTCGCGAGCCACATGCGGCTCTTTGGCCCCTTCAGTGTGGCTCTTCCACAAAATACCACATGCGGGCGTGCACATACAGTGCTATTGAAACTTCGTGGCCCATGCGCAGAAGTCGGTGTTTTGTGCAAGAGCCGGTATACTGTGGAAGAGCCACACTGAAGGAGCCAAAGAGCCACATGTGGCTTGCGAGCGAGGTTTGCCAACCACTGCTATAGACCATACACATATCAGCAAACACTCTAGCTATATTCACCAGTCAGCAGATTCCAGCAATACTTAAATAGAATGAATATCCATGAAAAGAGACCCTAGGAAATACTAAAACTGAATAAGTAACAAGATACAATAGCAACATGATAACTAGGTGAATACCTGTCAGCAGAGACTGTAGCAGCACAGTAACTGAATGCCTACCAATAGGAAAACAGAGGGAACCTGGAAAAATACCAGCTGGGATATGGGCGGGGCTGTGAACAGGTGGCGAACAGGCGGTGAGTCACCTCTCCAACACCAGTGTTATCTCTCAGACAGTAGGCTAAAGAAAAGCTCAAGGGCAGCTGACAGGAAAAGGAAAAAATAGGTGGGTCCAGAATAGGGGAAAGCTTTTGTTTTAGAAAAGAAAGGGAAGAGAACAGACACCCGTAAAGTCTCCCTCATTCTGAATCCCCACAGCATTTTGTATAAACTTCCCTTATGGCAAGTATGTCAGACCTTGAGCTCCCTAAAGACAACTATTGGGTCTCAGTCTAGGGCATTACATGCATAGTCTAGGTGCTCATCATTTACTAAATAAGAATTAAAAGACAGCCACAGTGGGAAAGAGATGAGATAGCAGTTCACATTTTGGACAGCATGGTTGTCTAAATGACAATTTTAACTGGCAATAAAGCATTCGGACTCACTGAAAGGTCCTAATCTCCAGAACCTGCAGACATTTTGCCTTACATGGCAGAAGGGACTTTGCAGATATGATTAAGGGTAACAGAATTTGACAGGGGAAGATAATCCTGGCTTATCAACGTGGCCCAATCAAATCACAGGAGTAAGCAAAGAACCTTTTCCTGCTAGGATCAAAAAAAGAGGGGGGGCGGATTTGAAACATGAGAGGGACTCAATCCACCATGGATGATTTTGAAGATGGAAGAAAAGGGCCCTAAGCCAAGAACTGGTGGGCCTCTAGGTGGAAATGGCCCTCAGCTGACAGCCAGCAAGAAAACAGATCTCAGTCATAACTACAATCAAAGAAATTCTACCAAAAAGCCAAATGAGCAAGAATCTTCTAGAGCCTCCAGAAAGGAATGCAGCACCCGCAACACTGACCTTAGCCTGGAGAGATTGTGGCAAACATATGACCTACAGAACTGTACTATAATAAATTTATGTTGTTTTAAGTCACTATGCTTGTGGTAATTTGTTATTACAGCAATAGAAAACTAATACAAATAGGCAGACAGGCTGGCTAGTGAGCATGATTTACTTTAAGCCACAAATGAGGCCACAGAAGTTATGAAGTCCAGCCAACAGAATCAAGCTTTAAAAGGCCAAACAACAGAAAGGAAAGATCTGCATGATCAACACAGGCATCCTGAAATCAGAAGAGATCTGGTTCATCCAAGAACCAGGAATCAAGGTTCCTGAGGACAGGGGACCAAATGTGAGACTAATAGAAACATATGCTAAAGACAATGAGGGAGAATCAAAGAAGTTAAGATTAGACAAAAGCAAGATGGGTAGAAGCCAGCACAGAAGAAGAAGAAAATGACCTAAAGAAGGAAATCAACAGTCCCAAAACATAAACAGGATATTCCCTGAGGTCAACATAAGCGTAGTGAGAAATAAAATTTTTTATATCTTTGTAAAATTAAAGTTTTGACATCTATTCTCTTGGTTTATACCAATAATTCTTAACCATGACATCTATCATAATTACTTTTTGAAACAGTTTTAAAAATACACATTGTACGTCTACTCCCAAAGATTATAACCCGAGACATCTAAGGCAGAGCTTAGAACCTGTTGTAGTTATTTTCAAATTTGGAAGTGTATACTTGATTCAAAACACTGGTCTGATCAGAATGAGATTCAAATATCTCACATATACTCTAACTTAGCTATTCAAAAACCTCACCTATACAAAACGTATCTATATGGGAACCTCACGTACCTGGAACCCTACTACCAAGTATGTCAATTATCTAGAACAGTTCTCTAGAACCTTTCATGATCCAAGAACTTCTGTTTTAAACACAAGGGAACTCCAATTATTTGTAATTAAAGGAAACCAAAATGACTGCAGAGCTAAAATAAATGCCATGAAGTCCATGGTTAAACTAATGCTTTACTCTCCCAGAAAGACTTACTTTGCTCCTGTTTTATATACATTTCTATTGGTTAAATGTATATAAAATACAAACTTCTTATCATGGTCTGAACCCTGCCTACTTCTCTACTTTCATCTCATTACCTTCTTTCCCTTGCTCACTACACCTCCAGTCACACTGGTCTTTCATTTCCTCAAATACATTAAGCTCTTCCCCATTTGTTGTCCTTTGCATGTTGCTCCCTCTGCCTAGACCAGTGGTTCTCAACCTTCTTAATGCCATGACCCTTTAATACAGTTCCTGATGTTGTGGTGATCCCCAATTTCATTGTTACAAACTGAACATAATTAAAGCACAGTGAGTAATCACAAAAACAATATGTAATTATATATGTATTTTCCGATAGCCATAGGCGACCCCTGTGAAAGGTTCGATCAACCCCCAAAGGGGTCGCGAGCCACAGGTTGAGAACCGCTGGCCTAGACTATTCTTCCATTTGCTCTTCAATAAGCTACCTCTCTCAGGACCTTTAAGTCTTAGCTCAACCTCACGTCCTCAAAGAGGTTTTTTTGTGTGGCTTTTTTTTTTTACCACCATTTTATTTTATAAGCACCCTGTTTGCTTTTTCATTACAATGACTACAATTTCAATTATTTCAGTAATGTGTTTGTTTGCTTATCTATCTCCTCTATACAGGAAGCACCACGAAGTCAGCATCCATGTCTACCTAATATATCATTATATACTCAGTACCAGAGGACAGTATGGCACATAGTGAACAATCATGTTCAAGAGGAAGTAATGTAAGTAGATAGATGGGTGTGTACCCCAAGTTATAGCAGCTCAAATGCAGCAAATCCAAAGGGGGAAAAAGATAAGCATGCCAGTAGCAGCTGGGCCAGCTATCAAAGCAGACACAAAACCTGAAAAAGCAATCTTAAGTTACCCAAAACAGGCCACAGAACACTACATGATTATTTCATGTCAAAGATGTATCATGTCAATGATACATCACAAGTGTAGTACAATGGAAAAACCTAAAGCCATGATGAGCACCCAAAGTCATCCAGAGAAGGAAACTGTGTTCTAGAGTCATAAATTACAAAAGCAGGGAGGCATATTAAAACCTGTACCAAAATGGTTAAAAGTTAAATAGTAGAAAGTAAATGCTGTCAATTTTAAAGTGATTACTGGAGACAAAGGCCAAAGAAGGGCAGTGACACCCTCCCAGAACAAAGGTCAGAGAGAGAAGATGGCTCACCCAAGTAAGTAAGCCAGGACAGAGGTAGGGGCCATACCCGGGAGTTGCTGCCAATACGGGCAACGAGGGTGTCAAGGATGGTGTGGGTGTCATGCCGGTGTAATAGCAGGAATCGCAGGAAGGTACGGAGCAAGGCAGGCTCTGAAATACTCCGTAGGAAAAGTTCCAGATAGGCGGTACTGGCGATCATCTCCTCCACAGAGGTCTGGATGAAGGGAAGGGAAAGTTTGGAAATTTAGGGCTTCCCTGCACATATACTGGAGTCATTTCCCAAGTTTTAAGGAGGAACGAGGAGCAGACAGGGAAAAGGGGATGAGACAATAATACAGTAATACTAGAGGATTTTCACACCTCATTGATATCAATACATTTGCCAGACAGAAAATAAGCAAGGAAACAGCAGCCTTAAATAACACACTAGAGCAGCCGGGGGCAAACTATGGCCCGGGGGCTGGATCCAGCCCGTTTGAAATGAATAAAACTAAAAAAAAAAAAAAGACCGTACCCTTTTATGTAACGATGTTTACTTTGAATTTATATTAGTTCACACAAACACTCCATCCATGGTTTTGTTCCGGCCCTTTGGTCCAGTTTAAGAACCCATTGTGGCCCTCGAGTCAAAAAGTTTGCCCACCCCTGACCTAGACCATTGTTTCCCACATTCGTCCTGGCGGTGAAGTTGCCATTATCAGCCTAATCCCCTACTCTGTCTTGCTACCCATGACTCTCACCTTGTGCAGGGCAGGGCCCATGACAGGTACCAGGAACCCATTATGGATATAATCAACCAGCTGCTTCTGCACCAAAGGGTGAGCCACCTACAGGGGTATGAGAAAGAGGAAGGAGGATTGTGAGGGGAGCCACTGTCTGAAAGGGAATAGAATGGTACAGTAGGAACCCTACCTTCAAGATAACAGAACAGCAGAACTCCAGGGAATGCACCCCCTCCCACTCCATCACCCCAGAATGCCCAAGCGCCAGACCTGCTGAGAATCCCAGTCCCACCTGAATGACTGCATTGCAGAACTCTAGGGAACTCATGAAGAGTGCAAGGGCTGGCACTCCCAGCCAGTCCTCCCGTCGCAGACAGTGCCAGTCATCCCCTGGAACTTCAATCTTTCGGGGCAATGAAGAGTACAGGGCACTCAGCCCTGTGGCCAGGACCTGGGGGCCATCCCCAAGGATAGGTTACCAAAGGTTCACACAATATAAGAAAGGGGAACAGGGCAGCTATTAACCCAGAGTTTTGATTAGAGTAAAGGGAAGGTCTGTGACCAGAGCAGGTATTTAATTACCCAACATTCCAAGACAGCCTGGGAACACGGGCCCATGTAGAGCCTTAGTTCCTGCCCTATGCCCCTGAGCCATGGTTTCATCCCCACCCAATTCCAGGCATTCCTTTCAAAACCAGGGTCTACTTCCTGAGAGCCCTGACACACAAACCCTCTGCATCTCCTATCCAGTGCCACACACCATATCCTGCCCCCCATCCCAGGAGGTGCTGACCGGGCAGAAGTAAGAGTGATCTGCGATGTAGCGGCCCACGGTGGGGCTCCCAGCTGACAGAGCCATAAGCAGGAGTAGGGCATCTCGGGCCTGCTGGCCCAGGGTGCCCTCTCGATGGACGAAGGGAACAAGGCGAGAAAAGAGGAGAAGACGTGGAGCAGCTCCAGGCTCAGGAGGTGGCTGCAGGAAGAACTCAAGCAATGAAGGCTCCCGGGCCAGACACACACACAGCTGGCTGAGAAGTAGCACCAGGCCATCATCCAGTGCTGGGCTACTGGGCACGGGGCGGCCACAGGCATCCAGCAAGGTCAGCAGAGCCTCACGAACTGGACCATGCCGCAAGAGTGGCTGACGAGCTTCGCTCACCAGCATCTCAAATAATTTCAGTTGCTCAGCCCGCCGTTCCTCAACCCCATCCCCAAGCTCATCCCATTGAAGCTGCCATGCCAACACACGGGTTAGCAGATCCTCGCGCAGAGCAAACTCCAGCAGGGGCCCAGGGGCATTGGGGGCTGAAGGGACTGCATGATCCTCTGCCAGCAGCGTCAACATCTGGTAAGTATGGTTGCGCACAGCACTGAGATCATCTGCACCCCCAGGAGCTACCCGAGGGCCTTGTCGCTCCAGGATTCGCACCACCTGGGGACACAGGACAGAAGATAGAGGGAATCTAAGATGATAAGGTGACTAAATGACACACTGAGAGAACAAAGAAAGTTAGGAGGACTCAGGAAGCCAGTAGACAAGACCCTTTGGCATATATTCTCCTACCTGGGACCAGTGATTCTTGAAGACCATAAGGCAGGTCTCAGGGTCAGCCACGACAGGGGTCTGCAGACTGGCCCCTTGAGGTACACGGTGCCCAGGGCCCCGGGAGGCCAGTCTGCTCAGCCAGTTCATCCTCTCCATGAGGCCAGCTGGGCAGGGCCAGCGGCCAGAGGACCACACTCTGAGAATTTGCCAGCTGGAGGCTTTCTCCACTTGTGTTTCCAGTCAGCTTCATCTGGTCTATAGGAGCCAGTAGCTGGCCATGGAGCCAGAAGATATACCAGGCTCTGAGTGACAAGCCCAGAGGTTGCTGACCAGTCCAGACTTGCAAATCTAATTCAAAAAGAGAGAATGGAAGAGATCAACGAAGTTTGCCATTCTCTCCTACCCAGCAGGAAGAACTCAGAGCCACCACGCCACTGAAAATTACACACACACATAATCAGCATCTTAAACTCAACAAGTCTAAAATAAAACTCATTTCTACTAAACCTATTATTCCCCCAGCCTTCCCTATCTCAATAAATAGCAACATTTTCACCTACATGATCAAGCCAAAATCCTGGATATCATCCTCATTTCTTTCTCTTACTTCTAATATCCAGTTCATCAGCAAACCCTATCATCTCTATCCTCAAAACACATCTCACTATTGCAACAGCTTCCAATCTGGCAATACTTCCAGTCTTATCCCTGGGAGTCTATTCTACACACAACAAGCAGAGTGATATTTTTAAAACCTAAATTATCTCTCTCCTAGTAACTATCCAATTTCCTTACCTTGGCCTATTAGGGCCCTATATAATCTAATCTGTGCAACCTCCTACCATTCTCCTCCTCACTCATACTTTACTCATACAGGCCTTTGTGAATACTTTCCCATTCCCTCTGCCTGATGTGCTCTTCTCCTAATCTTCACGTTACTCAGTTCTTTACAAATGCCATCTCCTAAGAGAGGCCTCATTCAACAATTCTATCTAAATAGCACATCTTCCCACCTTCACTCTCTAGCTTCCTGATCTTACTTTCTTCTTAGCAGTTTTCACTACCTGAAATTATTTATCTATCATCCCACTAGAATGTAAGTTCATAGAGGGCATAGTTTATCTGTTTTATTTAAAGTTGTATCCTCAGTGCCTGAAGACTCAATATTTGTTAAATGTATGAATGCTTAAGTGAATGAAGTAATAAATGAATGAGTGAACAAATGAACAATCAAGAAATCCGGTCCTGATCTGACTACAACTCTCTGATACTGTTGAGGAATAAACTTGTTCTGCCTATCACAGTTCCCTCCCTAGAAGCCTACCCAGTAGGGAGTGGACAAATAGACCCTTAATGTCTGAATACTCTTAAAAGGTGGAAATGCAGAGCCAACTGAAAGAGCACAACAATTTTAACTCTACCAAGGAACACAGGGACACACTCCCATATACACACATATTCCCCACTCTTGTCAGATACATTCAACACTCACTCTTGGGGATATGACATGACACCTTCACTAAAGAAAGGGGAAAAGTAACAAAATAGTTGTTGGCTCACAGTTCCTTCTCCATCACACCTACCACCTCCCTGAGCAGTATTGTCTCTCAAGAAAGTAAAAACTTCAGAGGAAAGGTGTGGTTCAGTTGCCCTTCCTCTTTATACTCAACAAGGGCTGAAGAAACCCAGAGACCTGGCAACAGCCCCACATTGCCATCCTCTTCAAGCCAGATATTCTCTCACCATTACCAGCTCACATATAAAGGAATGTAGCAACTATGCTTAAGGAAGCCTTCTATAGAACCGGAGACAGTGTGTATAACAGGTGGGACCAATCCTAAATAGCAAACAAGATTAACTCAGTATACATCCACACTGATAAAGTACTGGGCACTGTGCTGCATAAGCACTGGAAATACAAAAATGGATAAAAACTGCTGGGGGAGCATAAACAAAAACGCCAGTAAAAATTATGAACAGAGGGATTTACAAAAGTGCCGAGGGGGGGAGGGTGGGAGGGCATAAAGGGAAGCAACTAATTCTGCCCAGGAGGTTATAATATTTCAGAAAGGTGTTATCTAACTTAAATCTTTTAACAACAGATACTGGCCACAAAGAGAGCAGAAGGAAAGAAAGGCCTTCTTCATATTAAAAACAGTATGTAAAAAAATATGGCACTATAAAAGAGCATAACGAATTTGAGGAACAGTTGCAAGTTTGGTGTGGCTTACAGATTATCTAGAGAAGAGAGATACAATATTGAGTTGAAGGGTAACTATGGGTGAAGGTTATAAATATCACTGAATATCATATTAAGGAGTTTGGGTTTTTATCTATGGATACCCCAGAAACAAAGGAGGTTTTTAAACAAGGAAATTACAAGATCAAATTTGCCTTTAAAAATATGCCAGATAGCAATATAAGGTGGAGCAGAGAGACAGATGGGAGTGGACAATTTATAAGAATCTGTTTCAACAGTCTGTTTTAACCCATTGTATGTCATTAGCGTCTGTAGAAGCAAGCAGGCCTTCCCCACACGCCATTAACATCTATAAAAAAGAAAATGTTTTCCCTAAGTGTCAGCCCTGACCAACTTTAAAATCATTTTCGTGAGAATTTTCAGCTGAAAATATTCAAGAATTATGAGTAATGTATTTACTTTTATAACATTCACTGCAAACTGATTTTTTTACTTAAATTCAAAATATCGTGGCGTGTAGGTATGGTTTCCATTTGGGACACATGGCAGTTAACTGGTTAAAGAAAAAGAAATGGAATGAACTAACATGGGTAAGTTCAAGATTAGAAAAGAAAAGGTAAATCTGAGGTTCACCTCTATCTTAGCATGTCATACACTGAATTTATACCTATACTATATCTGCCATTAATAACAAGCTCCTTAATGAAAGTGACCACATCATTCATTCTTCCCTGAAATCAATGGCAACATAGTGCCTGGCATTCAAAGATGCTTGTGGAACTGAATGATGAATTAAAAATAATTATAACAGCTAACATATACTGAGTACTTACTTTGAGTCAGGCTCTATTCTAAGCACTACATGTAGTACCTCATTTAAACCTAGGTGTACTATTATCTCCATTTTAGACATGGTGAAATCAAAGCCTAGAAAGGTTAAATAAATTGTCAAAGCGAGCCAGCTAGTAAGTGCAAGACTAAAATGCATATGCAGAAAATCTGCCTCTGGCTTTAACTTATTCATGAAATAAAAGCAACATGACATGGCAAACAAATGGAAGATAAAAGAAGATCTTAATATGAAGTATAGGAGACTCAGTAAAAGATAATGCCATTAACAAACTAGGAGTATACTAGTATAACAAAGGGAATTGTGTTTTAAAAAAGAGAATCAGTACAATTTTGACATACCTATAGGATATCTATCATGTCCAGGATTTATGGAGATGAGAAGTATTTATGGACATGATAGATATCCTATAGGTATGTCAAAATTGTACTCATTTAGGAAAGTAAAGGAGGAGGATTCTTTAAAAAAAAAAACTGTGAAGGTAACCAGAAATGGAAGGAGAAATCCAAGAAATAGTGGTAATCTAGAAATCAAGGGTTAAAAAAAATGTTTCAAGGAAGTGGTGTTTTTACCATAAGGTATAGTCTACAGAGAGATTAAGTAGAATGAAGATTGAAAATGGTCAGTTGGTTTTAGCAATCGTATTTTAGATAAACTTAGGAAAGTAAATGGTTAAAGAATGACTAGGAGCTAAAGATGAGTAAGATGCAATTTCAGGAAATTTAGTAATACTAGGAAGGATGAAAATAGGGCAATAGTTTAAAGAAGCTGGGAGGGAAGGCGGGGAGTCAAGGAGAGTTATTATTGTTTGGTTTGGTTTGGTTTGGTTTGGTTTGGTTTGGTTTGGTTTGGTTTGGTTTTGGATGGAGAGCCTCAAAGATATTTATCAAATGAGGAAAAGAAATCTGAAGAAAGTAACAGGTTATAAAGAAAGTAAATAAGATAAGAATAACTGAACAAAAAATAAAGTATAGGATTAGTCTGAGAAAAAGAGGTATACTACTTTCTCTAAAAAAGATCAACAGTAATAAAGAATGGGTGCTACTTTAGGTAAATCCAAACTCTGAAACAGAGAAGCTAATATCTACCACTACCTCCTCCACCCAAACTTTTCTCCGTCACGCACTCAAGAGAGTGGGGGTGAGGGAGAAGAGAAGGGGTGAGAAGGTAGTAGAGACACAGAATGGATGCTCAGCCTTTCACACGTGGTTTTCTATAAACCATCAAACACAGTCATTCAAACTAGTAACCAGCAGCAGCATGAATATACCAGAAAAGGACTTACCCATCTTCCCAAAAACTTACCGTCCCAAGTAGGCATGGGTTGGAGAAGGCAAAGACTATAGCTGAGAATCTTTTTACAAGTCCCCTGTTACTAGCCTTACTAGCCCTCTCACTGTTATTAGCCCTGAGATGCTGTATCATCTCTGCTGAATTCCTTAAACTGCCCCTATCTCCATAAATATCATCCCTTTATTAATTTTTTCCAAACCTAATTTGTGTTATCTGCTATCTAAAAAGATCCTGACTGAGACAAGAGTATTAGTTTCCAGACTGCTTTCTCAGTCACATCTCATTTGAGGACTGAAAACAAATAGAGGCCCTAAGCTCAAGAAAGAGAAACAAAAAGAAGTAGGTAAAGCATGAGTTCTGGAGTCCCTCAAGCAAAGGCTTGAATCTCAGTCCACATTTTCCAGCTATGTGACCTTAAATAATCACTTCACACGTTGGAGCCTCAGTTTTTTCATCTATAAGTTTCTCATGAAATAAATAGTGACTGTTTTAGGAATTAAATAAGATAACCTATGTAGCACTCCAAGCACAAAGCAGGTGCTCTGTAAAAGACATTTATCTTTCCCCACTTCCTGCTCCTGATTCTGTCTCACCCAGGTGCCCTCATCTCCGACTGAAAGACCTAACCTGTGCGGGAATATCCATTCTCACCACCTCACACATACCCTACGGAGCTGAAGAAAGGCAAAGCATCCAGTCTTGGTAAAGTAAGGCAGTAACATGTTCCAAACTAAACTGCCTCCAGCTTCTAGAACTCAATTCCAAAAATTAACAAACCTACTTTGCAATATACTTGGGGTGCCCACTTCTGCTCCACTGCTTAACTAACAAAGGGCACTGCTTACAGGCCCAGGGGGACTGGCCTCCTGTACCTTTCCTCAGCCCCACCCCATCTCTTTACAAAGAAAGACCTCAAGGACAAGAGCCAGGCTGGAATCAGTGTCCCAGAACCTAAAAGCCAACACTTAACCTGGGCCCTGTTTCATATACTGCAGAAACACAAGAAATCATAGCCTGATGTCCCTTATCACCTGGTTAGACTTCCTCACTCCCTGTTAACCCTGTAAAGTTCAGAATAAGACAAAGAAGACTGTGGAATCACCACTCTATTGCAGATTTACCTTCAGGTTCCAGCCACAAAGAAAAAAGGGGAAGAAGGCAATGATCTTTCAGACCCACAAATAGTCAGGCACTCTTCTTAGGGCCCAAAACACTCAGCAAGTGTTCACCAACCACAGAACAGCAAGCACAGGGCAGGAAGTGGCTCGGCCTCACTTATGAACCTTTGCCCTGGGAGAGGCAAAGAGGAAAAAGGAGCTGGGGGCAGGGATACACCTGCCAACATGTACAGCAGGCAGAAAGGGACCAGAATGACAGAAGGTCAATAAAATCCCAAGGCTCCTCCTCCCGCAGTGGCTCTTTCTAGGCAAGATGACTGATGCTGACATAAGAGGTATGGGTGGCCTGTTATCCTAAAGAGTGAAAAAGGGCCGGATAAAGACCTACTAGGAATAAGGGGATAGGGAGAATGGGGGAGATCTACTCCAAAGAAGCCTACCAACCTAGAGCTCAGCTTACGTATCTTGTCTATCCCTCTGCCTATGTGTGTAAAATAAATGAGCTATCAGTATATGGTCCTTACTACTTTACCTCTCCCCAGGACCTCTGCTTCTCACAGGGAATCCTCTCATCTGACTCCAGCAAAGCACTTATAACTCACAACATGAATCACATCTTAACTTCCATTTATAACAGTGAATCCCCATGTCTCACATGGTTATCTCTACCCCTGCTGGGTATGTGTGCCAAAGAAGGTGTCATAAAAGAAGTGAGGCTGAACTAGATCTTAAAAATGAGGAAAGTTCACTGAGTAGAGAAGAAAAAGCATTTCTAGTAGAGGAAGCAGCTATTACAAAGATTTCAAGGCTCAAAAAAGTAACAAATGTGTTAAGGAACTGTGAACAATTTATTCAAGCTAGAACACAGAGTAGGGAGTGGCAGGAGATGAGGCCCGAGAGGTGAGTTCAGGCCAAATGATGCATATTAAAGAATTTGGATGTTGTCCTGCAGAACACAAAGAGCCAAAAGTTTTTAAGCTGAGGAGTTCCATGATCAAATTTTTATTTTTAGAAAGATCATTCTAGGGACAGACTAGAAAAAATCAAGTTTGAAGGCAGGAGATTGTTGGTAAAAAGTCCGGATGGGAGAGAGGAGGAAGTAAACTAAAGCTTTTAACAGTGAAGTTATAGCAGTGGAAATGAAGATAAAAGAAATAACAGAGAATATAATGTATTAAGGTTTTAGTGACTGATTAAATGCAAGGACTGAAGGAGCAGAAATAATGGAAGATGACACCGAAGTCTGGATTGAGATGGGGCCTACAGTGCAAAAGCATGCTTTCAGAGCAAAGACAATTTCTGTTTTGGACATGTTGAATCTGAGATACCTTTGGAGATACATAGATCACTGAATACTAGTATATATAATTGGAATATAGGGAGACACTGAGACTACATACAGAGAAGTAATCACCTCATGATGTATTTTTTATTTCATATTCTCTCTCTAAATTGAAATTATTTTTTCATGTGTCTAACTTTCCCAATCAGATTGAGAATTCCTTGAGGTCATCACGCCTGCGTGGCATAAAAAAGACCTCAGAGGACTATGTCTTCTTTATCTTATGATCTAATAAAATGTGAGCATCACACAGGCAGACTATATGCTAAAGAAGTATTTGCTGAATGAATAAATGAATATATGAATGAATGAATTTGTTCTCCCAGCACTTGGAAGAATGCCTGACACTAGCAGATGTGAAATAAATGGTTACACACATGTTTCTATCTCTACATTCTCATCCTCATCTATGTTCCAACTTCCCAGATCTACCACTGAGCTGTATGTCATAAGACAAAATCCATTATACTTAATGTATTACTATTCAACAGAGTTCGTATAGCAAACAATAAGCTTACCAAACCCAGTGCTTTCTCCAAAATAATCAAGAACTTGGACAGTCCCAAAGAACCCTCTGACACGTGACTTGACTCATCCTATCACTATCATAATGTGATCCAGGTATTATGTATACCTGTTCCTATGTCATTGCAAAAACTTAAGCAGAACCCTCATCCCTGTCACCCTCAAACTAGAACAACTGCAAATCATTTTAAAAAATGCTTTCTGCAGGTATAATGTCCTCCATGTCATCACAACCCTTCCTATATGCCATGTCTTTTAGTCCACATCACCTTCACTCTCTATTACAAACTTTCTCTCTCCAAGTCACTCTTACTCTCAGAAGACCAAATTTGGGTTCAGCTTTGACACTGTATCAGTAGGTGACCTCTGGCTTCCTAATTTGATTCCTCATCTATAAAATAAGAATTCCTGCCCTTGCCAACTTCACAAGTCATCTATGTAAATCCAGTAAAATTTGAGATTGTGATGTGAAGTATAATACTGGTCCAGATGTCAGAAATTATATAGAATTACTATATAAAGACATGCTTCCTCAACATAATAAAACACTCTAAATGTCTGGAATTCACTAACCAGTAGAAATAATTTTCTTATTAAAATATAGGGCTATTACTTTTTATTTTGGCAAATAAGGCCATTTTTTTTAAACCCACCATCTACTATCACCATTATTTCATTAGTGGGAGAGCACTTTAACACCAAAAGAATAGAAATAATTATCTCCAAAAAAATTTCTTTATGAAAAACTCCTGTTTTCCTATGTAGTCTTTCTCTCCTTCTACCTTGGATGGATGAAAACTTTATCTTGGGCTGGCAAAATCCTTAGCCTAACGTTTAGGAATCACTGCTCTAAACCCTGTTGTGATACATATAGGTTCTACAGCGTCCTGACTGTCTGGGCAGGTTGCCAAAGGTTCCACCAGCATGAAAACCTGTTTGGCCCCAGAGAGAAGCAATGAAAACATGCCATGGGACAGAACAGTAGTTGGTTCTGATGCTGGGATCTGGGGCAGAATGGGAACTTGGGCTGCCCCCAATTCTCATAAAAGGGTCTAGACAGGGAAGGCCTCGCTCCTCCTCATGTTGGGGAAGGTGTCTAGCCTTTGTGGTAGACCGTCAGCACAGAGGGAAATTTATTGGTGTGAAAGTGGCTATTATCACTGAGTGCCAACCCAGTTTTCCAGAACTTTCAAATTTTTCATGTGCAGGGAGATAGGAAACCTGTAAAATGCTAATAAAGTGAAACCAATATCCAGTCGCGGAGGAAAGAACAAATTGCAAAGGTACAGAAGAAAATTGGGGGGGGGGGGGGGGAGTAGAAGAAATGTTCAATATCTTGGAAGTGGTGATGATTTCACAGATGTAAACATGTCAAAATGCATCACACATGTACATTTTAAATATGAGCAGTCTACTGTACCTAAAATTTACCTCAACAGTTTTTGTTTTCATTTACCTGTAAGAATATGAGAGCAAAGGCTTCCTGATTGGGAGCCTAAATATAGTGCCCTATGCAACAAACCATGTGATTCCCATGAACCGTAGAATCAGTGACCAAACTTGGTTAATCCAGTCTATATGACAACCGCCAAAGCCCCATTGCTCAGCACAGATGAGGAGCAGCGCAGGAGTAAGGTTTACGGTCCAGAAGCAGGTGGAAAGAAAATCTCGGCAAAAACAGCCCCAAAGAATTCCATGAGAGGGACCATCTTCAAGTTTGCAGTCCCAAGGAGGAACCGGAGGGGACGGGTCCCAGTGATTACTCTGTTGAAGACTAAGACTAAAAAAATTAAATTAAATTAAAAAAACAAACGATTTCATAGCTACTATCAACCCATGATGCCTTTCTTTTTTTTTTTTTTTTCCTCCGCAAAAATTAAATTAAAAAAACAAACGATTTCATAGCTACTATCAACCCATGATGCCTTTCTTTTTTTTTTTCCCTCCGAAATGTGTAGGGCCCACGGGAGCAGAAGTGCCAGGTGCACAGCACTTAGACCTCAGCTGTCCTACTCAGGCTGGAACTACCGCTCTCTCTGACCAGGACAGTCCACTGCAGCAGCCTGGGAACCAAGCTCCCACCTTTATCCAAACCGCACAACCCTCAGCCCTTCCTCCCGTGCCCCGCCCTCAGCTCCCTCCCCAAATCACTGCCAGCCCACTAACCCGGCTCCCCCACCTGAGACACTCACACCCGGCCGCTCGCCACACGCCAGCCCTCGCCCTGTCCCTTCACCACCCCTACAGTCACCAAACCCGGGGCCGGGATGGCCAGTGCCTCGTCCCCTCGCGCGCTCTCCGAGCCCTCCCACCCCCACTTACCGTTCACGCACGGAACCCGGACCTTGACCAGGCCCGGCCGCCGTGGAACCGCTAGGTGAGTTCAGGCCGCCGCCATCGCTCCGGAGGCGCACCAGCCGCGCCCCGCCCCGCGCCCCACGCAATCCGCGCCCCCGCGCACCACACGTAACCGCCCAGAGACGCACGACTGGGCAGTGGCGCGCCAGCTCATTGGCTAGACCGGGCCTGAGCCAGAGCGTCGCTGCCCGTTTCCCGGCAACGGCCGAGCGCCGGGGCGGGGCCACCAAGGCCTTCCGAGCGAGGAGTACCGCCTCTTCCCCCCGGTCCCGCCCCTTCATACTGTACAGCCCGCCCCTCGGGAGGACTCCGGCATGTCACTGGGGAAGACCTCTGGGGAGGCGGAGGCCCACGGGCGAGGGGCGGAGCCTGGAGGGTGCGGGGGAAGGTCGATCCGCTGGACCGAAGGCGGGACTGACTTTAAGAGCCCGGAAAAGACCTGAGAGCGGGGGGTTAGGAGAGAGATGGGCTGTAAGAGACGAGCACGGAAGGGATTGAACCCCGGGTCCTGGGCGGTGCTTGGAGTGGAAGAGTGGGCG